GAAGAAGAAGAAGAAGAAGAAGAAGAAGAAGAAGAAGAAGAAGAAGAAGAAGAAGAAGAAGAAGAAGAAGAAGAAGAAGAAGAAGAAGAAGAAGAGCAAGAAGCCATGCCTGCCTTACCCGAATTCACACAAGATCCCATTCCGTACCCTGGCTGCTGTCTTGCGTTGAGCAAGTCCCTACTCACATATATCCACAGCATCCTACCTACATCTCCTTCTCTCATCCTTTCGATAGGTAGTGGTTACGGCCTTCTCGAAGCTGCCCTCCTGCAAGCGCCCTACACACTCAACGTAGTTGGAGTCGAAGTCCAACCTAGCCCAAATAAATTTCTACCGTCACTCCACCATCGCTGTGTGCCAGGGAGTCGATTTCATGAACAGCTTGCCGGGCAGGCCAGCGCATGGCTCTTCGTGTATCCGAGACGCATTGGCCTTGTGCAAGAATATTTGGCTCTGCATGGCAAAAGTCACTCATTGAAGATGGTTGTGTGGATGGGCCCTCGGGCGGATTGGGAGGACTACAAAGGCTGTTTTGGAGATGACTGGAATGTATGCATTAAGGCTGCTGACGAGGCGGGTGGGCGAGCATGGGAATTGATCGCTATTGCGAAGAAGTCCCAGAAAGCATCATAGACACTCCATGAACCTAGGAGATTTAGAGTGCAAAGTAGCCCTCTGCAACTACAGCGCATTACGGTAGGCTCTCAACCTTTCCAACCAAGAAATCCTCTTCATTCCCATTTCTTTATCTGTCGAATTTAAAGGATTTAGCTTTAATTTTTCTTACAATTTTCTTTGAACGCGTGTGTTGTATAAAGTTGCCCCGCTTTTCTTTCAAGTGATTGTGTTTGTCTGTTCAATGTGCAGCGACTAGTGAACTTTTGATCTCTATGTCTGTCAAATATTAGGGTCGCAGGAGGCAAACTCTGACCCCAAACGACCTTCCCACAGACCACGCCTAGTATCTGTACGCGCATACGACGATCTTTCACTGGAATACCCAACTCACGGCAGTCTCGCCATCACGGTTCCGAATCGCCGTGCGCCGAAGTGAACGACACCCAAGTATGGCGGCACCTCAGCCCTTCGATTTTTTTGGCAGCGTGCAGCTACAGGCATTGGGTATATTTACCGCAGCTCTCGTGTTCTACGCCGGTCCGGAATACGTCCAAACCGCCATAGATGCTGTCGGTCCGTGGATCGAAGCGCGGAGGGCTAGACAAATTTCGGTTGGCGATGCTACATCTGCAATCGTGCACACAGGATTGAGCACAGCTTCACCGGAGTCCTTCACGAGTAAAATTACAAAGTTCGTTACGGAAACGACAAGTGGAACATCGAGGTTCTGCGACAACACTTCACCCATTATCGTAATAACAGAAACCAACCGTACGAGCTTACCGGAAGTGACTCCACACGAACCTCCAACCTTCGATGACGAACAGCCGCATACCTCAAGCAATCCCACTGATAGCACGCGATCCTCGTCTTTCGACCGGCAAGATTCACACGAAACTTCGGTCTTCGATAACGGACAGTCAAGCACTCCCACACCGTTCTCGTCTTCTGAGCGGCATGATCACAGTTTCTCAACCTCGGAAACATCATGGGATTCATATGACTCAGATGATTCGCAAAAATTCAAATTTGAGAGCTCGGATAACCATCAATCTTCACATCTGGACAAGATTAAAACCTTGGAACAGATTCTTCATGAAGTGGACAGTCATGTAGGGAATGAGATAGACAGATTCAAAGAGGAACTTCGTTCCCAATTGGAAACTATCCGCATCTTTGCCATAACCAATATGCCTAGCTGCCGCACAATAATTTTCATTTCCAGTCTGTTCATTGCCATACTGGTTGAGATCCTATGTGGCGCGATGGTCCCTGAGAATCCACTCTACATCCCTCCACAATCGATTCCAATTTTTATCTTTATCGGATCTAGCCTACCCATTTTGCTCTATGGATATTGTGGAGACTATTTCGGAGCATTGGCTACTGCCTTAACCTACGGTTCGATAATCACAATCAGTACTCTTATGCGCCACGGCGTCACGACGGAGATTTTGGAGAGAATGACTCTACGGGAAGTCTTGTTGTTTATTGGATTGTCTATTAAAATTAAGTTTCGTGAGATCACTCGGCAATTCTTAATGCGGGCTTCTCGTATGTTCAAAGAACATTTGCTGTACTGCACGGTTTCTCTTAGTCTTGCTTTAGTAGCAATCGCATACTACTTCAAGTCTGGCTCTACCGACTCCCATCCTGTTTGGTTGCAAGGGGGATCATTATTTCTACAGAAGGTAAGCAATCCTCGATCATCGATTGTTAAACCTTCATGGAAGGTACTAAATTCTCAGATATCTTCAGTTTCTACCGGTGAAAAGTCAGATCAAACTACAGATGCAGGCAAGCCAGAAAGTAATGCTGAGCTTGGTGCCATTGGCAGCCTCGTCTTCCCTTACCTTTCGAAAGCTGCGCGTAGCTTCGCATTTGCCATAGAAGTAATCACCAGCGCCACGACAAATGCATATGCGAACCTCAATGCGGAAAACATCCCACTGACAGCATCCTTGATTGTTGCCATCACCTCATTCATGGCCGCGATAGATATCCAGTTTCGCAAGCTGAGCCCTAAAGCTCAAAGCATAATGACTTATATTGCCGGTGGCGGATTCGTTTATCACTTCTTCAGCTCCGATTACGGTCGAACCATACATCCTGACAACCTCTACTGGATGTGGGAGAACTTCCCGGACGGCTACGACTGGAGTCTATGCCACCCCGGAATTACAACATTTTCCATTGTCTTCGCATCTTGCTGCGTTCTCAGTCTCCGAACACAACGCCGCTACGAGGATGTTAAGGTTGCCTTATTCGTCTGTGCCACAAACTGGTATATTATAAGCTCTATTTTGACCCAGAACGGGCTCAGGTGTCTGCAGGACTATGCACTGGGCATGTTTTCACTCGGTATTCTTGCTGTATTGTATGTTGCCGTCCCAGCCTTCGCAGCCGCTGCTTTCTGGGAAACGGTCCGCCAGCATCGTCCAATCCGCGCCCTCAAACATGCCCCGAACTTCATGCGTGTTGCGATTGTAACTTGTTTGAGGACGATTGTCTATCCGACTTATCGATCGATAGTAGTTGTTGTGAGAACAATTTTCCCTCATGTCTCTCAGTGTATGGTAGTTATATGGACGATTGTTACCCAAATTGCTCGGTGGATGTTGGCCGCCCTGCTGTGGTTGATACCAGGCCTAAATCCTGATGATTCATTGAACGAGAGAAACCCAGAAATTCCTGGAGCGTTTCCTGATTCTCCTCCAAACAATCAGAATGAGATACCGGCTCCAGAACCCGCAAGGGTCACCAGACCCCGCCAGCAGTTGGAAACAAGACAGGAGACTTCACCGCCAGGGAGGTCTCAGAGCACAAGGTTCCAAACATCCTCAACAAGAGATCCGCAAGGGGCATCAGACAGAATACCGAACAGAAGGCCAGAAATACAACGAAATCCCGTCCGACCAACTGAAACAAGGCAAGAAACCCGACAGGACCGTGGACGCAGCGTATCGCCGGCACCCGAGAACAAACCCACGCATTTTTCACCACCCACAGGTAGGCCTAAATCTACTGCACCGTATGAACCAGAGATTGACACCAACTTACCACGCAAAGGTGCTCACTCCAACCAAGCAACTGAGACAAAACCAAATGCTGAACAGAAACACGATCCCATCCCATGGCGAGCACCAAGAAACAGGCCAAAGCGAAATCCATCGCCCCCACCGAAACCCGTTCCTACCGCAGAGTCTGAGACAGAGGCCATAATTATCCCAAAGGATAGGCATCGTGGTACTGTCCAAGCAACTGAGACAGAACTGCCGTCTGATCCGAGCAGTCTCTATAAGCCGCTTGACCGCATTGAAGGGTCTTCCAACGAAAACTCTGAAAGGTTTGAAGATCCCCGATCAGCAGGAGAGATCGATAAAGCAATCGCTAAGGAACTTCGGAAAAAAAGCCCAGAAATAGCAGCAAGGAAGTGGCTTCAAAATAAAGTTCGACAACCCTTGGAGCCTCGAGCGTGGGAAAAGCTGAGGGTGAAGCTTGTTAGGTTGTATGGCATGAAAATCGCAGAAGAAGCCATTGAAGAGAAGAAGATGGAGTTGATCATCGAACAAGAGAATAAAAAGGCCAAGGAAGACGCCGCATATTGCCAATTCGTGTTTGACGCCGTTGCTGATGCTTCGGAAGACCCCACAGGCTATTCTTCCCCCGCCACATCTGAAGACAGATGGCAACAAGTTTTGGAAAGATTTCGGACTCGATCCTTTAATCGCAGCGAAAGTGAATTCAGGGAAGAATTCAAAAAGCAGCAACTGGAAATCATCAGGTTGTCCAAAGTCGCGCAAAATACGGATGACAACCGCACCGACAAAACGGATCTCACTCTTGAAGATCCACAAATTACTTCACAGCCCCCTAATTTGCTTGAGGTTCCTTTCCTTGGGGCTCCTCAACTCAACTCCTGGTTACCAGGGATCAGCGCTGAGAGGGAAAGAGAGCTTATTGCTTCTGGACTTGCATCAAACGAACAACTTGGAGAAGCCCTAGATGGAGCTAATACAAGTATTGATTACGGAAAGATGTTCTTCGACGGCCTCAAAATCCCAGGAAAAGAACAAGACAAGAGAATCGACATCCCAGCATTGCCTCCATTGATTAGCGCTGAGAGGGAACGAGAGCTCATTGCCTCAGGACTTGCATCGAACGAACAATTTGGTGAAGCTCTAGATGAAGCTGAAACAAACATTGATTACAAGAACATATTCTTCGGCAACATGGGAGTCCCAGGAACAGCCCAAGACAATAGCATCAGCTTTCCACCATTGCCCCATCCTATCAGTGTTGAAAAGGCAAGAGATCTCATTGCTGCAGGACTGCAATCCAATGAACAACTCGACAATGCCCTTGACACTGCTGGAGCTGATGTCGATCTTGAAGCTGCGTTTCTCGGCAGCATGGGGATTCCAGGAAATGCGCAAGATCAGATCAATCCAACGTCACGCCCTCCACCGATCAGTGCCGAGAGAGAAAAAGAATTCATTGCCGCTGGACTCAAGTCTAATGAGCAGCTTGGTAACGCCCTTGACACTGCTGGAGCTGATGTCGATTTTGAAGCTGCGTTTCTCGGCAGCATGGGGATTCCAGGAAACGCACAAGATCGGATCCAGACTAAGTTGCAGCCTCCACCGATCAGTGCTGAGAGGGAAAGAGACTTTATAGTCGCTGGCCTTGGGTCTAATGAGGAACTTGGAAAAGCCCTGGACGCGACCGAAACGGATGCAGATTTCGCGGCTGTATTTTTCGACAGCATGAAAATTCCGGGAGAAGGGCAAATCCAGAGCACCGGCGGCTCGCCAGCACCTCTACCGAGTGCATTGAATCAACCCGACTCGGTCTATGTCCAGCTCAATAATGCAGAGTCCAACGACGAGTACGCAAACACTTTTCTCTCGCCTCTGGGTGCCAACGCGCCGCCAAACAAAGGAGGCGAAGTCAATCCAGGTAGTGGAACGCTACCCAATTCGTCCTCTTTCTTTATTCCAAAATCTAGCGTGCCGACAGCGAATCAGCAGCTTGGTGCTGAAAATGCTGTCGCCCGGAACAATGAAGAAGTTGCTCGTGCTCCTACTTCAGCGCCAGAAATCCCGCGAAATGGCAACAAGGGAAAGACCACGAATGGCGTTGAACAAACCCTCAAACGCGCTTCATCCGCATCCAATGAAGCCCCCTCGAGCCATCTACCACTAGATGAACCTCAAGGTAAGTCAATTCCAATGATCGTTTCCGTGTTTGATCAAGTCTAATAGTATTCAGATCCTGCGAAAGCTGCTGTCGCCAGAAAAAGGTTGCGGGACCGCATACTAGGGGTACCAAGCCTCTCGGACTTCCTCGAATTGTCACCAGCCGATAACGGCCTGTCTGGCCCTGCTGATTCGGCTTCTGATGATGGACTGGATGAAGAGATCATGAGGGCATTGGCGGCCGAGAACGAAGAATCGATGGATGAAATGATGGCAATGCAAGCTATGCTAATGGGGGAGGCGGGGAAAGCAAAGCAGAGAAAGAAGTAAGGGTAAATTGTGACTTGAGTATATTTTCTTTTCTGAGGAAGCGTGCGCGTTTGGCATTTGAAGGGGCTATAAGGATTGCAGGAGTTCTTCGTTTCCCGTAATCGATATTAGATGTATACTCTAATTGTACTCCCCTTTGCGTAATTTGGATACACCTTAACTTATATATCATTGTTCTCTTTGTACCTAATATTTCATTGAGATCGTGTGAATTACCAAGCTCCAAAAGTAATGTGTCTAAATTCTTCCATTACTTACCAAATTGAAAGACGATGCCTCATAATTCATACATTATCTTGCGCAACTCAAAAACCATGCCATATTTGATTTAACATCTTTCGAAAGACTCTTCAATTAACCATATTTGGCGCCCAGCTCCGTTACAAACTTTGGTTAGAATGCTATAAACTCTTGCTTTTATCCTCACTTACTTGAAACATCACTTTGTCATGCTGCTTTATAAACATAATCTGATGAAAAGAGTTCAGCAACCTTAGGGTGCTTCATTCTGGCTTGTGCCATGTAACTAAATATCATATCGCAGGCATTCTTGTTGTCTTGGGGATATTCCCCAACGCCAAAGATCAATACGCGCAAAGAAAAAAAAAACAAAACGATCACGCAAGGCCATCAGGCCTTGCGGAAGAGGCCAGCGCCTCCGAGGCACCGCCTCAAATATCTCCCCGCTCCTTCCTCCTTCTCCTCCTTCTCCTTCTTCTCCTCCGCCTTTCCTGGGCGCTCCTTCGGCAGAACCACCTTCGGGGGTCCCTCGGCCGTCTCAAAACTGAACGGTTCTGCCGTTCGGAAGACCTCAGGGCCCTCCACTGGCCCCTCTTGGTCGAGGCGAGCCGGACTCTTTTTTGCACCGTCGAAGTGCTCCTCTGTTGGTCGAGGAAGATTCACGACGATGTGCCGAGAGCCAGCACGCCTCACGCCCCCCCTCATCCCCCTATCCATCGCCAGCTCTCCTTCGGCCGGCAGCTTCTTCTTGATCTTCATCGCCGCCATCTCCTCGGCGGCCTTCGAATCCAAGATGATGACGACGCTCTCGTCGTCACTATCCTCCTCCCCCTCACTCTCGCTCTGGTTCGCCTCACTTGAGGCCTCTGATTGATGTCCCGGAGAGGAGGGGGAGGAAGGAGTCCATTCTCCGGCTTCATCTTCTGCTGCTTTCTCGCTGCTTGCAGCAGTCTGGTCTTGTCGAACGGGACTTACAGCCGAAGCAGCCCGACGATCATCAATGACCTCTTGGAACCCCACAGAATGTTCGTTGTGGGTCGGGTCGCTTGCCACGGAATTTGTGCGTTGGTGAGAGCAACGCGTCTGCGCGGGGAGATCTGTAATCACATCAGTCATTGTTTTTAAGTTCTTTCTGGCGGACGTACCATTGTTAAAATCAACCTCCTTTGCCTCCAACCATTGTGGAAGCTCGTTGGGGTCGATGTCGACAGCGCACGCAACCTTCTTCTTCAAGTCATCTAGCTCCGAAACAAGCTCGAGTGTGCGATGATTCGCAACGTCCAGTCTTTCTCGAGTATGTTCTTCGCCGCTGCGAGAGATGCGCAAGTTTTTGCGCAGGTGATATAGGCATGTGACGCAAGTCTCGTTGTCTGCACACTTTCCTAACCTATCCTCGACGTTTCTGAACTTTGCGGATGGTGAGGTTAGCCGTGCTTCAAAGCCTTATCGGAAGAGCCAGATTGGGCAGTGGGTTGACTTACAACTTCCTTGCTTGGAGAAACGGAGCGCGTTTCGGAAGTTGGAGTGGTTGTTGGCTTATCGCCACCAACCTGCAATTCGTGCTCTGGCCGACTTTGAGGGACGAAGATCTTGTCGTGAGAGATCTCAAGTGCTTCCTTTCGAGCGTCGGTGACCTCACCCTCCAGCTCCTTGTTCCTTGCAGCCAGTCTCATGATTTCTGCATTTGCATGCTCCAATTGTTCGGCAGTGAGACCGTTTTCCGACTTCAATTTCTCCAACGCTGGCTTGATGATGGCAACGTCGGCCTCCAATGCGTTTTTTTGGGCAACGCTTAAGGTGTAGCTGTTCCAGCATTGTTGCGATTGGACTGCCCAACCACTGCCGATGTTCTCCGCATTTTGGAGTGATTCCTGCAGCTTTTTGTTCTCTGCCCGTAGGCTCGCAATTGCATCTTGGTCCGCCCTTTTCTGTTCTTCGACGATCCGCCTGTGTTCGTAGTTTGCTACGCTCGCGTCGAGTTCGTGCTCAAGGAAATCAATCTCCTTGAGAGCGTCTGCGTACTTTCGATTCGCTTCTGGGAATGGGGGCTTAGTGCCTGGACACAAGTAGATGGGGAGAAATTTGGGACTTACCTTTGAAATCCGTCGATTGACTGGCGTTGCCGCCGTTCTTCTTCTGCCTGGCCAAGAACTCACTCTTCTCCTTGGCCAAAGCCGCATGCTTCTTCCTGAATTCCTCAAGCTGTTTCTTGAGCGTGGAGTTCTCATTCATAGCCTCCTGGCAGACTGTTTGTATCTTGTCGGTGCGCTGGGCCATTTCGACCCTCTCTCGGATGGCATTATCGCGCTCCTCAGTAATGGCCTCGATCTGGCGTTGTGCAGATTCTTTATGTGCCATTGCTGCCTTGCCAACCTTTTTAGCTTCCCGCAGCTGTGCCTTCAGACTGTCAAGTTCAGCCTTGATGATCTTGATCTCCTCCTCAATCTCTCTGACCGCTTCAAATGCCATTTGTCGTGCCTTTATCGACTCTTCATGGCTCTTGATCGTTTCGGAGTGTACCAATTTGAGTTGAAGATGCTTGCGGATTGCCTCCTCAAGCTTTTTCGTTACCTGATGCACCCGAATTTGAAGTGGCTCATTGCCAGCTAAACTGTCGCTGATTGTGCGAGTTAAATTCTTGATATGATCTTGCTGTTCTGCAATTCTCTTGAGGTTGTCCTCATGTTTTGCAATCAAACAATCGGCCTGGGCCTTGGCTGCAATGTGTTTCTCCTGGAGCTGTTCCGCCATCTGATCCACCTGAACTTGAAGTTTTTCATTATCAGCTAGAGTGTCGCTGATGGTGTGAGTGGAGTCCTTGAGCTGTTTCGTCATTTGATCCACCTGAACTTGAAGTTGTTCATTGTCAGCCGCACTGTTGCTGACTGTGTGAGTGGAGCTTTTGAGCTGCTCCTGGAGTTCTGCAATTTTATCGAGGTCGTCTTCGTGCGTTGCAATCAGCTGATCGGCCTGAGCTTTAGCTGCAAGCTCTGTCTCCTGGAGCTGCTTTGTTAACTGATCTACCTGAACTTGAAGTCGTTCATTATCAGCAAGACTGTTGTGGATTGTGCGAGTTGAATCTCTGAGCCACCCGCGCAATTCCTCAATCTTCTCCAGGTCCGCCTCGCGTTTTTCCAACAACCATTCGACCTGGGCTTCGGCTGTCTCCTGATCCTCCCTTGCATCATCTCGCATGTCTTGCATGTTGTTAAAGTCTATGGTACTTGGCATCATCATGATGAGGTGGGCGAGGCTTTCACACCTCTCACGTCTCTCTGCAAGGTCTTCCTCAAGACAGCGAATTCTCTCCATACAAGGTCCGTGATTAGTGTCACGTGTAGTGTTGCCGAGACTTTCGCTATGGGGTTCGTGATTACCATCGTCAGACTCCCTTTCAAGTGGGACAGCCATCTCACTTGCGTTGTCGGACTGGTAACCAGCATCGCCCGACTCTTCGTCAAGTGCAGCATCTTGGACACTTGCGTTGTCGGACTGGTGATCAGCGTCGCCCAACTCTTCGTCAAGTGCATCATCTTGAACACTTGCGTTGTCGGACTGGTAATCAGCGTTGAGGTCCTCGTTGTTGGAGGCATTGATGGAGACATCGATGGAGGCATTCGTGGAGGCCTTCACGGAGATTTTCGCGGAGATGTTGGTGGAGGTGTTGGAGGAGTTGTTGGAGGAGTTGTTGGAGGAGGTGTTTGGGGAGGTGTTGGAGAAGGTTGATGGATAGGCCGTGTGGACGTTGCGCGTACCATAATTAAGATTGCTATACCATGCGGGGAGTGGCAGGATTCCGGAGGGAGAAGCTGGGGAAAGATCCACAGAGATACCATTGATCATCTTAAGCCTATCCAAGGTGTCCTTCATACCATCACAGTAGATGTCCGCGATAGCCAACATACGTTCGGCGTCGGTAGGCATGATGACGGTGATAGGTGACTCGTCGAGTGAGAGTATTGAGGTAATTGGGATGAGTGGAGATAGGAACTGATGGATTCCTGTGAGAATAGATGACAGTGAGAATAGACACGTCCTCGTGGTGAGAAAGAAAGGTTGTGAGGTTGCGTGGGATAGAGGGGAGAAAAGACTGGTAGGTTGGTGCCTGAGAGGAAGGAACGGAAAAAGCTATAATCCGGGAGGTGGCTGGAAGGGAAGGGAATAGAAAGTAAAGTCAAGTGAAGGTGAGTTTTGCCAGTGCTGGGGTTGCTGGGGGTGCTGGTGGCGAATGTATAGAATCACTTTTACCTGCAAAGTGCTTGGCATCATCGATCGCTCCAAGTGAAGTTGGGCTTGGGCGAACCATCTATAGGAGTATACAACATGTCACATATAAAGATGTAATGATCAATCACTAGGCGCAGTGTTTTGTAATCTTCTGGATTGAGTTTATATCTCATCGGGGTTTGGTAAGTGGGAATTCGAAGATGCAAAGGTATCCTAAAATCGAATTTCCTTAGGATGTAGCTTCCTTACATCCTCCACTTCAAGACCAATAGGTAACATCAGATCACGACGCCTGGTGAGGAATCACTGAGATCAACCAATTCGGAAAGGTATCCACCAATGCTTCCCAATCATTCTCGTAGCATTATGGAGGCTACATTGAACTGACCTCACTAGGTCGCACCATCACGACTCTGATTTTGAACCCTCTTGGAGGCCTTCCGGGATCCCTACCAGAGTCCATTCTCCCCTTTTCCTCACCCCCATCGTCCTCCACTGTGTTGGTCGGCTCGTTGTTAGATAATAGACGAGGGTAGTTTCTGCGTGCTTCATGTTCGTCGTTCGGCGCATGATTTTCATGATTGCTTTCCACCGCAGTTGCTCGTAGTGAAGAGGTATATTTGCCGGCCGTCATACTGTGGGACATTGGAGATGTCATGTGTTGAAATCTCTGCTAGCGATTGACGATTCGTATTGCAGGATGCCTGCAAAATGTATTCCAGTTTTAGAGTTGGTAGAATTGATACTAAATCCCTGTGAATCTATGGGTGCAGATGATTCCACCTGTTAGAGGGCCGCACTCAAACTAGCTAACTCTCCTCTGTCGTACCCGTAATATTGCCCCTTGGGGATTTCTAGGTTCGCTGGCTGTGATCACGGCTGCATCAACCGCCATTGAAGTCTTGAATTCCGTTTCTTCAGCCGTCTTGTAACCTTTCTGTGAATTAACCAGAGCATTATTCTGCTCCGTAGCGCGATATGGTGTCAATCTAGAAATACAACCAACAGGGACAAATTCGGGAGCATTGGCATTACATTGATGACTCCAAGATGGTCTCTGATATGTAGAAGGAGTATTTTGAATTGTTGGTTCTGCATATGACGGTGAATACAGTGAGCTTTTGGGGATGCTGAGATTGTCAATCGTATCGCCAATCTTATCAGCTAGTTGAGCTTCCTCACTGGTGGATTCTTGTGACAAAATCGTATCTGTGGACTTTGGTGACACTTGTTTCTTGGTTATGTTGGACTGCGAAGCATCTGATGACACTCTATCATTTTCTGACGTTTGTCGAACATCCTTCTTAGATATCCTTCAAGCGTTGCTGTACATATCAGAGTCATCAATTACACGTTTGTCATGCTCTGCACTTTCTAATTCCTGCTGGGGTTTCTATCGGGAATCTTGCGAGGGCCATAGGATATTTCCAGTAGCTCATTGGGTACGCCTGCGTCGTTGTCTAGTGGAGCGCAATTAGTCTCTGTAGAGTCGATGGTAATTCACCGCCGCCTAGTTTCAAGAGCTTCGTTAGAGGTCTGTACAGATGTTCTAGGTTTGTTTTGGTATTCAGGCTACCAATTCTGCCAGTGATTCCTTGCGCCTGGCTAGGAGCTCGTGGATTTGGTTGGGTGGACGAAGATTTCATGATCATCTCTTCCGGAGGTGCCTTCAACTCGCTCCCAAACGCTAGTATCTCGTTTCTTGTAGGTATTGCCAAATCAGTACATGCTTCTGCCGTCACCTTAGTAAGTTTACCCGGAACAAGAATTGTTCTTCCGTCAGGAATGGGGTCTCTTTTTGGGTGGCCAATTTCACCAATGCTTTCAATTATGCTCTTTACTTGGCCCATGGTGAAAGCATCCACATATCCTTTCAATTCTCATTCCAACTGTGCGATATGGTTGTCAGTCATTGCGAGAAGTTCCTTGCATTCCTAAACACCCTTTCTGTCCACTATAATTTGGTTGTTATGGGTATTGGCATCGGCATTTATGTGATCCTGTTGCAATGTGACCCGGCTTCTCAACTTTGTATCACACTGGGTATCTGCTCGTATATTATTTGACGGTACCTCTAGCTCAACAATGCTTTTATCTCGGACAACTGCACCTGTCTTGTGTTTCTTCCATTACCTCGAGTTCCTTCGCCCATTAACGCCCTGATCAATTCTAGAGCGTTCTCGTGGCAATTTAGCTTATCCTGTAAGGTATGTACCAGAGAGTGGAGACCTTCGTTCTCGGTATCAAGCGTCTGAGAGTCTAGTATGACTTCCAGCTAGCTTTAAGACAAGTTGAGCGACCGCTTCAATTTTTTGCAGAGCAATTCGACAATTGGTGTTGATGATAGGAGTTGGTTGTTCATTTGTATTTGCACTTTTGCTGGCTTCTCGAGATTCTTAGCTGTTGGGCTAAGGGTTTCATTATCGTTGGCCGATTTCCTGCTGTCGAATATCTCTTCCCGCACGGAGGGGACATTATGCCCCGCGCCATCGGATTCTTCCAGCTTTTTCGTCGTATCGTGGTAATCTTCTGCAGGGGTCATGTGATTAGACACTAGCCGGTTTGATGCGGGAACCTGTTCATCAACGCCTTTGCATGTCGTCGGTAATGCCGTTTTGGGAAAGCATACTTCGGGGCATTATTAGAGGATAGGATTTAGTCCGTATCCTCATTCCGGCAAAGACTGGAAAGGTGGCTGAAGAGGCGTGCGGAAATCAATGGCCGAAAGCTGGTTGGCATCAAGGAGGAACAGAGCTTACTCTCTTGTGGGTATTTACGGTATAGAATCAGAAAAACATGATTTGTCTTTGTTTTTCACACAATGCGTCTTCATTGATGTATTTTTAGTGTTCCTGGACACTCACTGCAACAGCGAGAGTAAGACGACGCAATCACGATATGCGATAGGGAAAAGGTCCCGTCAAGCAATCACACACTCTTCTGACTAGATACACGTGACTGTCAAAGATGCCTTTGCAATAGTATTTAATTAGCAATTATTTTATCGTTTTCTACGTAACTCGTTACTGTATGCTTGCGCATTTGTCCCGTGGTGGGATAACACCTTGGATAGTCTGCTTGATTGCAATTGAGAGTGACAATAGCTTTTCCGTTTGGCAACGTGCATTGTCTGTGTCTGGATGCAACGCCTGATCTTTGTTTCTGCGTTGCTCTGTACTACGGCGTCTGTGGCGCTGGCCCATGCATATTCTGTTCTTTGTTCAAAAGTCGTCGCAAGAGGCGTTAGCTTAGTGGCTGGGTTGGTGTGCCGCAGCGCAAACCCCCGAGCGCTGATTGGAGATGATTATTGTGGACCTCATATTTACCCACAACCAGCAACGGTAGTAACTACCAGAATACTTGTGCGAATGAAACGCCATGACGGTAATGCTCGCTCTGCCCACGACCTAGAACTTGTGTTCGCTGGGCTCGGTGGAGCCTTGGCAACCTTTGTCGTCTCTTTATTCGAATCGAATCTGTCCGTGGGTGTTGGTTTAGATATCGTCGTAGTCTGATCGCCAATTACGAGAATCGTATTGCTGGCAATTGTGATGATAGACATTGGAGTTCCTTGTACGGTGACTGGGCTACCTGGTCCAAGAGTTTGTCCGTCGATTATGTACATTGTCGTGCCAGATACGACGGTAGCTGAAACGCGCATGTTCTGCGAGCCTCCAACTGGGAGAGTTGTAGTCGCTCTATCTGCAACTAAAACTTTCTGGCCTGCAGCATTGGTGCTCAGAGAAATGACTGTGCCACCGACAGTAACGGCTTGTCCATTGACAAGCGTGGTAGATTCCATCGCATACTGATAATCGTGCACCTCCGCTGTCGCCATGATTTCACCAATGGCAAGCGTTTGCGTTGCGGGAGCTGTGATGATGGACGAAGCTCCGTTCACGACAGCAATCGTCTCCCCTGCTTCATTGATGGAGACAATGGTGAGCCTCCCCGACCCTTGGCCAAGTGTTGCTGTGAGCCCACCCTGCTTTACTGTTTGGTCGTCGATTACAATTCCATTGGGTATTCTGCTGGCTGTTTTATCTCCAATAGGGATTGGTATGTTGAAAGTTGTTGTTGATGTGCCGACTACAATGATTGGCTGACCATTTGAATCTACTGCGACTTTCGTTGCGCTGGGACCATTCCCAAGAGTAATTGTTTGGCCTCCAGGTGTCAGGATTTCATCCGAAATGTGAATCTTTGTTATGGGTTCCGGTGTGAGAATCACGTCTCCAAGTGTGACTGACGGTGGAAAGATAGCTGCTGTAAATTCGGTAGGGAAGATGGTCAAGACGTCTTTGCTTCCCCAACCTCCCATGGTGCTCTCAAGATGAGGTTTTGCCCACGTGTTGCCTTCAATTTGCGAAGAACTGGCGGGCCTAATTCTGGGAAGGCCTATACTAGACGCAGTCAATTCGACGTGCGCAAAATTGACAGTCGACCATTGGATGGCGGATTCGATTATCGATTGCACGTCTCCAGGCAGTCTGGATTTTACATTTGGCGTCTCTGTGGGCTCAGGCACAAACCCGGATGCGGTAATCTCTCGATGAGGTTTGAGTAGCAGAGTGGTGGCTGCTGAGGTGACCCATGGTCGTGTGGCGGGCGCCGCAGTCCACATTGTCTCCTCGATGGTTGTCGTTGTGTTAAGAGTCTCTGGAAAACCGTTAATTGGATGCTCCTCGTATTTCGGCAAATCATGTTCATGGCCAGGGGGAGGTTGCATTAAGTGGGTTACTCACGCGCAATTCCGGGGAGGCGTGTATCTGCAAAAGTCGACGTTATGAATAATGTGCAAATACATGGTACCAACAATCTCCGCATGGCGAAACAAGAACTGTGGTGATGAAGGACGCGAGAGCAGAACCAGACAGGTAAAAGTTGTCATGACCTGGCGATATAGTTTCTCATATCTTTTCCTCTCTTAGCCAAAACCATTGGGGACAGGCCCCCCATGAATAGTACGAATTTGTAGGTCCATGCATAATTTAGCTCAGCGTAGGACGGGGTTAGTAGAATTGAACCGGTCCGATTCATTTCCTACTCGTTATCGTCGTCGATCTTCCTCTCAAAGGTTGTTTCGATCTTCAATAATCGAATCGCCCTTTTCCGTAATATTGGCCACACATCTGTGGCGTCTACTAACCCCTGATGAAATGCACTACACACATTGATAACTACTGATGATAATGTATTGTAGCTATGGGCATGTAGCATAATGGTTGCGTATAGGTAATGTGTTGGAAATTACGAAATTCTAGGTACATATAGTTTAGATGAAGTTGCCGCACTGCGATTCTGCGTGCAAGTACGAGGAAGGTAGAAATGCAGGGTACAATGGTTACATCTGAGGCTGTCGCGGACTTTGCACACCTTCGCGCAACATCCAACAATTCAACTCGCCGAAAGGGACATACATTATGTGTTCCCATTTTGAGCAAACCGATATGATATCACGCGGTAGATTTTCTGTGTCATTGAGAGAACGGATGCGTAGCACGGTTGCCAAGATGTGAAGTGCATCATCACGTGCTGTGTAATAATTGTTCATTTTTCTCAGGTTCAAGTTGACCATGAATAGCACAACGAGTCAACGAGCTTTCGGCACTTTTCTACGTTTCAGTGGACTCTGACCTAGTTGAACACAGTAAACAGTACCTCTCAACTGTTTGTAGTTGGATAACCCATTACGTGCTAGGTACCTATACTTAGGTAGTGGCTGTCAAACAGCTGATCTTTGATAGAAAGACTCAATCTAGCGCATTATCTGTCCCCAAGAGAGGCACGAGGGGCTAACATTCGTCGCATCTAGCAGTCCATAGAGTTGTCGCACTTTCGTAAGTCCGACATTATTTTGCGCCAATATGCCACGGGTTTATGTTGGTATGATACGAAGTTGATGCTGACAATTAATCCACGGGCGAAACATGGTCTTTATCTCGACGGAACCTCCAGGGAGCCTTCTCCATTACCTTTGCGACCTTGATGCACGATACCTGGGGTATCGTGATGACAAACCTCGGCAGGTACCCGAACCTCCACGGAAGAATTTCTCCGGAATCCGCCTGGCGCTGCAGCCTGGACTTTCAAAGCCACAGCAATGCTTCCTCACACATAGATATAGAAAAGTACATATTGTCTGCCCAAAATTTGCGCATCTCTGTGAAACTTCATTTCATTCCCAGAAACTTACATCAGCGACAAATCAGCATGGAGACTTTCGCCTCAAAGGATGTAGATGCCTTTTCTAGGATAATGCAATTCACCCCAACCTTGCGCCGTGCAGTATACGAAGCCATTTCACCCAAAAACCCCCAGAACAGTGCAAGCGGAAAGAATGTATTGATTACTGGGGCTACACGAGGAATTGGCAAGGTAGGAGTACCGAATGCTCAGGCAGCTTATTAGTCCCATTGATCAGACATAATAGGGCATTGCTATGACTTGGGCTCAAGCTGGCGCCAGTGGAATTGTCATCACAGGACGGAACAAAGCTGCCCTTGATACTACTGCCGAAGAAATCAAAAATATCTCGCCCGACACAAAGGTACTCGCTGTGACTGCAGACGCCACGTCTCCCGAAGATGCGAAGAAGTTGTGGTCTGAAGTCAGATTCGGGATGGGCCTAATTGACGTACTCATCTGCAACGCTGGCGTTCATTTTGAGAGCGACGATGGTAGCCCACGAGTTGGCGATATTGATCCTGAACGCTGGTTTTCTGTGCTGGTACGTGGATCATCACCATCGAACGAGCCATGCAATCACTTATCAAGAAGTAGAGCACCAATATTTTCGGTCCCCACCTACATACATACAACTTCCTTCAGCAATATCTTTCCGAGGGAAAGGCACCAATCGGAACTGTCGTTTTGATTAGCTCTGGTGCAGCTCTGTTCGCCCGTCCTGGCGGTTCCGCATATTCAATTAGCAAGGGTGTGAATGCTCGCCAAGCAGAGGCCTTACATATTGGTAAGTTTCGATCTGACCTTGGTATTTGACCACAAAGCTTAACCACACCTTCAGAATACCCCGGTGTTCGTGCATTCTCAGTCCATCCAGGTATGGTGGACACCGACATGGCCATGGCCCCCGTTAGACACATGGCTATAGATCCTCGTAAGTCTATGATATGTTCGCCTACCTTGCATACCTGCTAATTACTCTAAGCTGAACTTGCGGGCTCCTTTACACTGTACTTGAGCACGCCAAAAGCAGACTTTTTAAGAGGTAAATATCTCAGTGTGAATTGGGATGTAACAGAGATGGAAGCTCGCGCACCAGAGATCAAAGAGAAGGGATTATTAAAATTGACATTTCTGAATGCAAAATTAGGGCCAGGAGGGCACCCTTTTGAGACTGCTGTACTATAGTAGTACCAATCTATCCATCACCCATTTGACTCCATTATTGGTGTTCCAGAAACCCCACCTAGCACACTGTCAAGACTGAAACGAATGTACATCTGGTTCAGTTTGAAAACAGCTACCGCATCCAAGTCAATCGCTTCCACCAAGACTTCTTCTTCTGGCTTTCCACTGCTTTCAATGCAGCAACAGAAGGGGAGTCATCTTCATCGTACGACAGCTTCGTCACAAATTGCCCATAGCAAAAGCCACTAGCAACTGAAGCTTTCCTTGTAATGTCATGAGGTTGCGAGGCAGTCTTGGTCGAGTCCGTGGCAGTCAAGGAAGAGATCTGATTGGCCTGACCATTACTATCGCCAGGGCCTGATGGAACTCGACGCAGGTCATCTTGCTCAATAGATGACGACTCTTCGTTGTTGACTCGGGCTCCTCCAGGCACAGGAACCAAACCGAAATCGGAGAAATAGGAAAGCCTCATCCCAAGCTGCCTAAGCAAATCCTGTTCTGCAAGACGCTGCTCATCCGTGGTTGTCGAAGGCTTGTGATGTACCTGAGTTCCGGTGGAGTTAATGCTCGTGCCTTCTGATCCAGAATCGTCCGCCTCTAGGTCCTGCGAAGGTACCGATGTTGACAGCGGTGGGATTGAGGATTGCGGGCGAAGAGGAGATTTCGGAGGAATGGGCGGTTTCGAGCCTTTTGGCGATTGCTTCAAGGGTCGGCCGTCGAACGGGAGGGAGCTCGAACGCGAGCTTGACGGTGATGGCTTCAATGGTCGACCGTCGAAAGGAAGGGAGCTGGAACGCAAACTCGATGGTGATTGCTTGAGAGTCTGGTCATCGAAAGGATTCGAAGCATGTGGGATTTGTCCTTCACTGTTGAGCGTGCCTGCTACTTCATTTTGTGGCGATTCAAGCATGATGGTGCCTTGCCCTTCCGATTGCGATGCAATGTGTTGCACTGAATCTATCCTCTAGAAGCTGAGAACTCGAAGCAACGCTTGTTTGTGGGTTGCGGGTGATAGATTGGAGTGATGATGGATACAATTGGGTGCTTAAAACTCATGTGCTGAGAAAGGTCTCTATAACTTACCTTCACTGTTCACCATTCACCTTCACCACTCACTCACCAAAATTTTAACTGATCCGTGCTTGTTCTAAAAGCTCCACCCTATCCAACAGAATCATCCGCTTCATCTGTCGCACATTTTGCACACAGTGCAATTCACGCCATGTCCTTTGTGGTCATACATGCCTATTTAGTCGCCCTACTTCTACTGTTGTATTGAATTTACTAGTCATTCGTTCTGTTGCTACATCTATCTTCAGACAAGCACCCACCTCGGATAATAGCTTCGAGAGGAAAAAATGGGAAATATTCTTTCTATTGTCCGTAGTCCACGGAATGCAATCGTTGAATTTAGTCTCCGTTGGAGGAATCCACATTTGCGCAATAGTAGAGTTATTACTAGGACTCCTGATCTGATTGTAGACAAAGCATCCGGGGATCCCTTTGTAAATCCAGCACCCAAGACACCAACCCAAATAAGGACTCGGTGTAAGATTTCGAAAAAAATGGATGTCCCTACGTTCGTTCCTCAAGGTTCACCTCTCATGGCATCCTATGAAGACTTCCTAGCTCGCCTAGGCGAGGACGATTCGGCTGCGAGTCTGGCAGCTAGGCTGGCAGCAGCGCATGGCTCATCGGTTCGAGAGCCAGATTCAAAGAACTTCACGCGGGGACACGTTCTGGAATCGCATACCATGTCGACTGTCCTGAGATTCGTGGCCCGTTTCAATGAAGAATACACTCCTATGAAGACGACCATTATGGGGAAGATGGCCGGAACTATGGGTGATACCGGCACAGCCGTGCATGATCTCGCTATTGTCTTAGAGGAACTCACGCTGTCTGGTGATGCAAATACAGTGCCCTGCTCCTAGGAACACTCATTGAGCTGTGTGAATGGCAATGGATGTGAAGCTACCTCGATTCTGGCATCCACCATCTATCATTGGCTCAACGACTAAAAGGGCTATAATTACTTTGGAACGAAACCTCTGATAACTTATTATTGGATTCATGCTATGTTGGGACAAAATCACTAGGAGATTTCTCAGGCTTCATTTCGCAGAACATGAGACCCAATCATGTGGGGTTGCGTAAAGGCGTTCGTCATCTCAAATTGCATCAGTAGAGGATGAATGAAACTACTTCCGGATGGACGCTAGAATAACATAATGTTACCTTTGATAGGTCTTACAATGATGACAACGTAATTACGAGTTGCACTTTGTGCTACATGTCTTAGAAGGGTGTAGTAATAGATGAACGGTTTCGCAAAGACCCTGCAAAGAAACAGACTTCGCTAATTGTCCGACTCTGCTGTGCAATGTTGTTGTTTTCTAGTTCGATGAGCAACCACTACTATTTCGTAAATATGAATCTGTTTGTCGAATTTATGAACGCAGCAGTTGTACACTCAAGTTTATTTACCCGACACAGCCGTCAGCACTATTGATCAGATTCTGGACCTGAGTGCGGACGCGTACTGTTGATCTTGGTTTTGAAGCTGCGCAATTTGTAAAAGGAATGGATTGGTTGTCCATTGAATTGAGTAATTACTCGCTTCTCGTCTCTCGCCTTCAACACATGTCGATTCACTTCATGAGGTCTTATAGAGTGTCAAGAGGTATGCAACGTCTGCGACTACTGTAATGAATCATTCTCGGCCCATCGTGAAAGTGAAGAACATAATACTGCTTTTCACATTCACCTTCACTAGGCTCAGTCATTTCAGCACCGTCGCACTGGCAACACAGGCTGTTTACCACCTTTACCTCAACCTCGCAAACCAAGACTGCACATAAAGCGAATGCTCAATGACTCAACATCAGGAAGTCGAATAAACGTACAACCTCAATGTCGGGCAAGACAGCCGTTGACATGCTATCGCCTAAATTACACAACCTGTCAACCACTCTGCTCGAAGCACACGAGAACGCGAACTCGGCCGATTCCTTCCGCGAAACCCAGGTGCTTGCGCAGCCTAAAGATCGTCCCGCCAGCCTTGGTCGAGGCCATCGTCGTCGCGATCACGTCCGTCTATCGAGCGACGAGCGGAAGAAGATCATGGGTGGTGCATATCTCTCCAAGCCTGTTGCCGAAACACGCGGCCCCCAGAAATATAGAGAGAGTTTGGTTGATGTAGTAGCTGCTCAGGAGAAGGGCTGGTATTACTGGCACGATTTAGAGAAGCCAGACATCATGGCTGGGAAAGAACATGGAGTCCAGGTTCGCGATTTCGCATATCCTCTGGGCCAGGAACCAGGTACTCACGAGGAGGAGAACGTGTACAATGGATCACGGACTTGTTCCTGAGGTGTGTGTGTATCTCGCCTACTCTTTACCTTCAGTATGCTGACGTGAGGTCTAGGTCCCAAACAACCCAACCGCCAATGAAGTGCTCGCGAAATCGCAATTGAGCATCTGACGACCCTTACTGGGAGTATGCGATATCGAGTTTTTGGCGGGAATCAATGGATCCTCTTGTTGATCTGGACTGTGATGGCATACATGATACAACTAATGCTGGATTGGGAATTGTACGTTGGATGACTGAGTAGGCAAATGATGAATGAACGAGTCTTTCATTGAGGAATTGGCATTGTGGAGTTCCTTGTCTTGACTATAGCCTTGCACATGTAAGCCTTATAAAACTCCAATCCAACCTTTTGTCTGGACTTGAGTAAACCATCCTTGAAGACTATCCGACTGATTCTAGAGCTGAACAATGCATATAGCTCCGCTCACCTCGGGCAGATATCTCCGCACCGCCAGAGAGGGAAGCAAAGAATAACATGCCAGGATCACAGTACCCATTAATTACAGGTAAACCTTCTCCACGAATGACCCTTAACCAATGACAACCTGCTTCCTTCTCCACATAAGTAGAATAGCTAATAGTTGCGCCCCACCACAGCCACATAAGACGAGCATCTGTAAGTCGTAACCTCGCGCAATGATGTGACGAACTTCATCACTGGGTATTGACCCTTGGGACCAGCCACTATGAGTAGCTACTTCTTTACTGCCTGTCAGATTTTGTAATCGCGGCCGAGTATAACTATGAAAGACTGAGCTTGCGATCGCGAGGACTATTGACCCTCCCATGATACGTGTTTGACCTATCGCACCAAGTCCCACAGCTAACACTCGTTAGTCAATTACGCAATTCAAAGTGAACAAAGACCTACCTCGGTGTTTTATCTCCACTAGAAATGGTATCACGAGTGCAGGAAGTGAAATGGTAATGCCGCAGCCAAACCCAGCGACGATCTGAAAACCATAACTACGGGCGGGTACCGCAACAGAATTGGGCAGTGTTGCTAACAAGGCAAATCCTAGAATTTGTAGACTAGCAGAGACCATGAGGATGAATATCGGTGGGATCTTGTATTTTCCTGTAGCTGCCGATGACCAAGCAGCTCCGAGGGGTGCAGCGAAGGTAAAAGGCATAGTTCGGATGCCGGCCTGAAGTGCGGAAGTGGCATGTACAATTTGATATCTTTGAGGGAGGGTGAAAACGCCGACAAACCAACTCCCCCCCAGAAAAAGAGAATCTCTATTTTGTCTTTCAGTATAATATTATTGAAACAATGGAAGACGATACTAACAGCAAAAGACCGAGTACAACTCTATTGGCGAGGAATACCCAAGGCAAGACTGGCTCTCGCATGTCATTGGCCAAGGTGACTTTGCGCTCCCAATATACCAATGCGAACCAAAGAAGTATGGATGAAGTCAAAAGCGTAATGACATAAGCTGATCGCCACGGAAACGCAGCGTTGGCCTCATGAAATCCAGCAGTCAGAGCTAGGGTTGCCAGAAGTAATAGAATTCCGCCCAAGAAGTCCATCCGGTCTCGAACTTCTTTACCAAGAAATTTGCGGGCGGGAGAAACTGGCCTCTCTATCGGTGCTCCATGAAAACCAGGTGGGATGGCAAAGACCGTGAAAGCGAGGGCCGGTGCCGCGCATGGGATGCTAGATTCTACTTTCAATATTTCCAATATCAAATGTCTCTACGGGTCTCTGTTTGGGACATACTTGAGCAGGAAAACCCATCTCCAGGTAGTATGTTCACTAATTGCCCCTCCCATAATAGGTCCAGCGAGTAAGGAGATCGCATAAACAATGGCAATATTCGTCCCGTATTTGGGCCATTTTTCTGGTGGACCCAAATCAGTGATCATCGTGATTCCCACGGCAAAGCAACCGCCACCGCCAATTCCTTGTATTGCTCGAAAGACAATCCTGATCAGAATAAGTGAATATGTTCAAAATGAGAACAAGGATAATCATACAGTTGGACTATAGTCTGAGAGGCTCCACATGCTGCCGAGCCGATGATGAAAATGATGATCGCTGTTGCGAGAAGCAACTTGCGACCTAGAATATCGCTCAATTTTGCAAATATTACTACGACACCTAATGACGATTAGAACGAAACTTTGCACAAGAGGAGATTTCGTTCTCACCAACGTACCCGAGCAGATAACTCGAGATAAGCCATCCCGACTTATCAAATCCACCGATATCATCAGTAATGGCAACCACAGAAGTCGTGACGATCGGGATTTCTAGGTTCGTCAAAAATAAGGCTATTGAAATTCTTCAAGGATGTTTAGTGTGATATTATCGTAACAAGAGTCATTTTTGCCTCACGCAATCGTGATTAACCAAAATCGAATCCCCTGCGGATAGTGTGAGTTCTCCACCATTTCCTCTGGGCTTTCTGTCTTTTCGGGTTGCTCATGCAACTCATTTTGATGACTTGTTCTGACTCGCTGCTCTCGATGTAAGCCATCAATATCGGTCTCGTCCATGTTTTTAAAAATGTATTTTTCTAAGAGAAGAGGTCTGGAGAGATTAGAACTTCCTAAATCTGGGACTATCTAGCAGAATTGGAGATCATATGTGCCCAAGCACACCGTCGTTTCCAATAATTACTATCCTATTGAACGTCATTCTGTCATTCGGCTGTGGTTTGTGTATGGTTAGGGGTCATTTTAATTGTCGTAGTCCTTCACTCGCACATGTGAGGCACAGTCAACGGTCCTTCAAACACAGAAGTCTCACCATATGCCCTTATAGCTCTGCAATTGCTACACTGTGCCAAGAGGTTATATCGTAATCACAAGGAAAATCATTTATCTATCAAGAAGGGTCGAAAGCTGAACCTTTTAATCGAGCTCATTCTTTGCATATTATCATGGCCTATCGCCAGACAAAGTGTTTTTATCTGCATATATACACTGAGTCTGCTTAATTAATATTATATTACAATTGAACCTGCCGAACGAAATACTGTTCATGGAAGGGGTAAGAATTGCTGCCAAGTTCGCACCATTCTGCACATGTACGGCGTTTCCCTGAACTAAAAGGCTCCAAGCAATGTTAACAGTGTTAAAATGTCATATTCCATGTCGCTCTCTGCATTCAGACTGAGACACACTCAGTGGGTGAGAATTACACGTCACTCCTTTATCGAAAAGCCTTATCGACATCTGACTCCTTTTCTGATTTTCTAGGTGGTGGCATTTAAGCCAAAGCACAAAAGGCACACAGAGTTTGCTTAGCATAGCAATATGAGAGGGTCATGTTTAAATACTTAGGTAAGAATTGAAAAGTAAAGAAATACAAGATCGAACCCCTGGCCAGCAAATGCGCGCATGTAGGCGCGCGGCGCGGTACAGCGCCAACTTAAGGCCAAGCTCAATGTCGACCTCATCAGACGCTCGCCTGGATAATATCCCTCGTGGATACTGGTGTATGTAGATTGACGTCAAAAATAGCTACGCCACATGCATGTAAGCGCAGGTAATGGGCCATCGTCTTGATAATCAACCGCGCCGCAATAGCCGCCAGTGTGCTCCTACCCTAGTAAGCATTGAATACCATGGTATTATCCTTCGAGGACCATGGGGCACGGGGAAAGTAGATTCAAATGGTTGTTGGGTTGGAGGCGAAGGTTCTTCGTACTCGGGCGTGGTTTCTCAATTTGGGCAATGCTGCCTTGGTCTCAGCACTTCCGGTTTCTGTGAGATTGTATTGCTTGTACTCCCCTTTCCCTTTTTCATCGTCTTCGTGATACATCGAAATCGAAAACTTGTGCATCAAGAGCGCAAAAAGATGGCCTGGACCACTTTTGAGGCCATATGTATCGTTATCAAATACGCGTTGATCGCTATCGTTCTACAGGTAAAGAAATGACATACAGCGCCCGATAACACTGCTCACTAGTATCAGTTCGCCCTCGTCTGCGGTTATAGACTTACTCTTCATCCACTTAGCAAATATCCTGGACCCATCATCGCTGCAACGACCGACTGGTATGTGGGGTTCTTTGCAGCACTCAAACGCCAGCATCTCGTTACTTACTCTAACCACCAAAAATATGGTAAGTCTCCATACGTTCTAGAATTCTGTGTTATGTATAGTACTGACTAGGAATAGGAACTGTTATTAGACAAGGGCCGAACAAACTCGTGTTCAACTCTCACCAAGCCCTCCACGGTATCTTAAATCACAACCCGTACAAAGTTTCCATCCACTGATAGAGACTACAGATATCTACCAAAGCGAGAAAATAAATAAAGTCCGCTCGTACCTCTGCACTCAAATCAAGTCCGACACTTACAGCATCTTCAACTGCCTTGACAAAGACCTCCATCGCATAAAACGTCGGATCATAAGCAAAGCTCTCTCAGAGCAAAAGATGCGCCGCTTCGAGCCTGTTCTCTTAACCCACGTTGACCGGTTCCTAGCGCTTCTATTACGGTCACATCACAAGAAACAGGCCGTAAACATGTCCGAGCGATTCAAACGATTAGGGCTTGAGATCATCGGCAAGTTTGGGTTCGGCTACGACCTCAAGCTGCAGACTGAAGAGGAGCATGTGTTTGTGGTGAAGGGCATGGAGGGGGGAAGTTATCGCAATAATGTGTATATCCAAGCACCGAGTCTACGGTGGCTGGGTATCGAGTTTCTACTTCCTGCCCTGTATAAACTGCGGATGAAGTACTTCTTTCTGTTAAAAAGACTCATTAAAGAAAGACTTGCTGAGGGGAAGGACGCAAAAGAAGACCTTTTCTCGTATGTTGTAGATGCGAAGGATCCAGAAACAGGCACAAAGATTCGCATGAGTGAGCTATGGTCAGAGGCCACATTCTTCTTCCCAGCTGGTATGAGATCGCCCCCATGATCTCTTAAAGCCTGTCGGCCAAATTGCTGATTCGGGGGATAGGGGGAGACACAACAGCCACCACATTGACAGCCGCCTTCTTCTATCTCTCACGTAATCCAGAGTGTTACTCAAGGCTTACATCGGAGATCCGCAGCAAATGGTCTTCAGGGACAGACATTCGCTCCGGCACTTTACTGTCCAGCTGCACATATCTCCGTGCCGTTCTCGACGAAACGATGCGGGTCTCGCCTCCCCTATGTGGTACACTGTGGAGAGAGCTCCCCGTTAGTGAGTACGGCAAGGATGCAAGTATCATAATCGATGGACATGTAGTGCCGGCCGGAACCTGGGTTGGTGTCAACACTTACACAATCCACCACAACGAGCACTACTTTCCGGACCCATTCTCGTTCAAGCCTGAACGCTGGCTGCCAGAGAACCGGGACAACGGGGATGAGATGAGAAGGATGCAGGGGGCTTTTGCACCTTTCGGGGTCGGATCGCGTTCGTGTCCTGGAAAGGTGATGGCTTTCATGGAAGCCAGTCTTGTCTTGGCCAAGTCTGTATGGTATTTTGACTTCAGCCGTAGCCAGGACCCCAAGCTCGATAAGATTGGGGGAGGAAGCATTGGGAGTACAGTCGGTCGGGATCGAGTCGATGAGTTTCAACTCTATGATCAATTCATCTCTAGTCATGACGGGCCGTATCTCACTTTTGAGCCGCGGGATGGTGCCTGGAAGGATCTAGAATAGGATTTATCAACGTTTTAATCCAAAGCAGATTGCTACTTTCCTATCGGGTAGATGATATCTAATTTTCTTTCCAATTGGAAGTGTCTGGATGGAGAGTAAATTGATCATTGGGGTTTTCCCTTTCAGAGTTGATCTTCGCGTTCGATTGAAACAAAATTGAGATATGCTTTAGACGTCTTACCCCAGTACTATACCAAGCAAGAAGTTTCCATTGAGTTTGAAATCATACAAGAACAAATCTTATTATTGTCGTTCAATGAATAGACTCTAGATAGCACTCCCTAGGGCGTGACCACCACGCACCCTTTTCCTATTCCGTCGTAGTCCCCCCCGCCAAGCACGCCTTGCTCGCCGAGAAAAAACAGTAACACTTGCATGATGTGTATGCATGGATACTTTCCCGATACGAGGCTTTCCGCCGCCCATCAATTTCGTATTCTGCTCCACAGCCAATTGCATCAAGTGTAAAAAGGATGAACAATCAGCATCTGCCTTACCTTGACCAACAGATATATGACCCTTCATTGTACTTCATCAACAACACCTCTGCAGACGTGACAGATCAACACGCTGGCGTCGTCGGCATATCGGACGTATTTTCGGTGGGACAGGGACCTCCATCGTCCTTTCCCACCCCAGTCCCAATAAACAATGATAATAATAATGAGCAAAACAATGTCAACGTCGGCCAAGATCCGGCCTCATTCCTGGAGAGCCCCATAACAGACCTCCCCACGCCCCTGGGAGCATCTGGCATCCAACCCAAAATCGGCGGCAGATTCTCAAAAGAGGTGGTTAATCTTCTCAAGAGGTGGATAGCCGCAAATAAACACCATCCGTATCCCACAGACGCCGATATGGACATGCTTCAGTACCAAACCGGCCTGAACAAGGGACAAATAGTGAATTGGTTCGCCAACGCTCGGCGTCGAGGGACCGCAAATAAAGTACCCTCATTCTCTCTGGATAGGCAAGAGACTGTACAGCAAATGGAGATTCCGATTCCGAGACCTGGCACGCCTGCGTTCAGGTCTGATTCGCAATCGCTGAATCCCCTGGAAAGATGGGTCGAATCACCACCAGAGAATGAGCCGGCTTCAGCTTCTGACATCGCCCGGGCAGTTGCATCGAGCCCGCCGGATGACCACTCCCAGGAAGGTTCCAGTCTCGGGAGCTACCGTGAGCTGTGGAATTTGTCTTCCCAAAGACAGTACTCCAGATCATCGGCAAGATCGTCGGCAAGTAGCGGAGTTACGTCTCGCTCGAGTCGCGCTTCAGATAGTTCGGTTCACTCTCACACATCGTCTCAACGATCACACATTGGTGCATCGATGACGCATAGAAGACGTGTTCGAAAACCCCGGCAGACTGGGAAGAGGCCCATGTCAAAAGCTTGGATGCAGTATCAATGTACATTCTGCACACAGACGTTCAAGACGAAGTACGACTGGCAAAGGCACGAAAAGACTCTTCACCTTCCCATTGAACGGTGGCTCTGCTCGCCTCAAGGGCCCCGAACCGTGAGCCTTGTACAACCCCCATCGCAGCTCTGCGTCTTCTGTGGCCAGGCTGAGCCAAATGACGCTCACATCGAGTCTCATAATTACAACATATGCCACGCCCGTGCACCGGAAGAACGTATGTTCAGTCGCAAAGACCACATCAAGCAGCACCTCATCTTAGTCCACAATGTCCCCTTCAACGAGTCCGCAATGGCGTCATGGAAAGCACCTACTCCAGACATCCCGTCCCGGTGCGGATTTTGCAACGCCGCGCTGCACACATGGACGGACCGTGTCGACCACCTAGCCGACCACTTTAAGTGCGGCAAGACGATGGGAGACTGGACCGGAGATTGGGGATTCCCGCCAGATATTCAGAAGCTGGTTGAGAATGCGATACCACCTTACCTCATCGATACGGAGCGAAGCACTCCGGCACCCTTCACGGCGGGTACTCATGCACCGTACTGTGCTCCTAATAGTACTTACGAACTCCTGAAGTCAGAGCTGGATTCCTACATGCGGAATCATTTCGAACAGACGGGCAACATGCCATCGAACGACGAATTGCAATTGGAAGCACGTCGAGTCATACTCGCAGTCGAGCCGTGGTCGGATTCCAGCTTCTCACCATCTCCCCCTTCATGGTTACGTGACCTTATATTCGCCTCGAACGCAGAAATGATAGCAGCACAAGCAAACTTCAGTCCCGTGGACCTCGAACCGGAATCGCATCTCATACCCGCAACCTTCAGTGGTAAAAATCTCGACAGACCCCTCTTTGATGCCTGCCCACTCGAAGCCGAACTCGCCCTCTTCGTCCGGGGTGGAACCACATTGGGCACCACTGATGCCATCGCCATCATCCCAGACAGACAGCTTCAAGAAGCTGCCCTCCGCATCATCGAACGCCTCGAACTCATGTCTCCAACGCCATCCGACACCTTCGCAAACTGGCTCGTCAAACTCATCTTCTCGAACACAGACTGGCTCTCTTCGTTCCGCCAACGCATCGGCCTCGATACCTCACTCCTCGCACCCATAACTGTCACCCCTATCCATCCTCTTCCCCTTCATGCTCAATCGAACCTCCCACCCCTTTCATCACCATCATCGACCGTACCACCACCAGCAACACAAAACATCCACATCCCAAACTTCTACCGCCACTTCGTCCTCGCCCTCCTAAACTGGACCACTTCCATGATGACGTCCCCTCCTTCTACGTCGCCGTCTTCTTCAAACCCACCAATACTTCCGCACATCCCAACAGATGAAGAGATACAGAGCCAAGCGCGATTGATACTGTACGGCGATGACGATCCGTGGAACACGAGTGCCGCGGACAACGAGGAGTGGTTGCAGAGATTCAAGAGGGATGCTGGAATACTGGCGGATGGGGGTCCCGGTCTGGGTTTGGGTCTTTGAGGAGGAGGGTTTATTTTGTTCAGTATCATCGTAGGTCTGGAGATGGGTGTGGCTCTCGAACGGGATACGGGTTGACATTGGCGATGGCTTCGTTATCGGCAGATTTGTGGAACTGAGGATTGGGTGCAGAATGCAGGCCGGCTATCGCGTATCAACGGGAAGGGAGAAGCAGTAAATCTACATCCTTAGGGAGCCGCCACCACGTGACCATCGATATTCGGAGGCTGCCGACAGTACCGCCTGGTCGATGGCAGCAAACTTCACGTCTATTCGCACACACTATATTCACCGTCCGAGCGAGCGACTTAGACATTCATCCACTCCCTCGGGACAAATAATCACTCTCATGACGAGACGTGGTTGGACAGTCGTTGCCATACATGAGTCAACCGTTTCAGCTACCCTTCTGGTTACACACAAGACTGGGGGTGAATGTCGAAACGCGTATTGACAGTGTCGTATTGTGTAGTGTTTGGCAGGCGGGCGCGGCGGTCTCCCGTGACAACGTGAAGCGGTGATTGATGCCACACGTCTCGGCCATACGCGTTCTTGTGTGGTAACGCGAAGCAAATTCACTTCACTATTTGCCTTTGCGCCTTTTCCCCGGCGACTCTGTCCGAGCTCGTACCATCCCTCTGTGCTGGAGGTACAAAGGGACACTGCCGTTTCCACCTATCTTGGACCTCTCCTTCCCTTCTCTTTCTCATACACAACTCACCCTTTCGAATTGTCAACCTACAACATTTCGAGGCCCTGCAATCACACCCTTTCTCCAATACAACCATTCGTTATCAATACGACCTCTTGCAAATCGAAACATCACGACATCTTGATCATGTCTGACAAGCCGTCACCCGTTCGGGACCCCAGTCGGCCATCACGCAATCCACTGCGTTCGGGTGACCTTACCAGACAACCCGCTTATGGTCAGTATCAATATGAGTCTGCTCCTGATCTTTCGAGTTCCGATGACGAGGACCTCGACGACGAGGACCTCGATGACGATCAGACCGACCACGGGGAGCTTGACAAGGATCTCGATAACGACGTACTCGACGAAGAGGATCTTGATGATACTGAGGATGTCAATAACATGTATAGCATGCAAACCCTAATCGACGCCTTAAACGAAGATACATCTCGCAACACTGGGGCTCCTCCCTCTGGAACTTCTCCTGTCGGGGGTTCTGCTCAATCCCCCGCTGATGATCATTCTGACTCTTTCGTTGGATCCACTGCCTATGCGCCCTCTGAAGCTCCTGCGACCTTTTCCACCGGATCTCCTGACTATGACCCCTCTGAATCTTCCGACAGCGATTCTACTGAATCTTCCGACAGCGATTCTACTGAATCTTCCGATAGCGATTCTGCTGAATCTTCTGACAGCGTTGTTGCTGAATCTTCGGATAGCGTTTCTGCTGAATCTTCGGACAGCGTTGTTGCTGAATCTTCCGCCGATGCCCGCCTGGGAGCTTCTGCTGAGGTTCTTGCAAAGGATACAGTGAAGGATCTAGCTGAAGCCCCTACTCAATCTTCCGCTGAATCTTCCACTGTGGTATCTGAAGCTTCTACTGAAGGTCTTGCTGGGGTTCCTGCTGTGATTCCTTCTGGATCTCACGCAGAGAGTTCCACTGATCTTGTCGCCGGTGCGCCTTCTGAATCCTCTGATGGGGTTCCTGCCGAGGCTCTCTCTGTATGCGCCACGGTCTCTGTCACTATCTCCCTCACTGAATCTGACGCTGCGGCATCTGATGGTCCTAATGAGGATCCTGCTGAAGTTCATTTTGAATCTCAATCTGACGCTTCCGCTGAGCTATACGGCGATGCTCCAGCCGAGGCCCATGTGGCTATTCCATTCACTTCCACAAAGCAGTACGAAAGTCTCCAGAAGGAACTGGCACTCGCGCGCTACTACACTCGCTACGTAGTCATCGTCGGGAGTAGCCATGAGGCCAGGTTAACCAACAACGATTTCGTCGTTGCACTTGCCAAGCAGCGTCTTGAACTGACTCCCTGCAAACCAGAGCACCAGGTCGCCCAACAGAAGATGAAATCCGCCGTCAATGCCGAGATCCAGAAGTTTCGGGCCGTGTACCGCCAGGTTTGGGTCAAGTATTACGCTCGCGAGCGAAACGAGAGAGAGTCTGCGGCTAAGGAAGTTGGACCCGGCAGGTGTGATGACAAGATTACCGAAGCGGCTAAGGACTCAGTCGGTGGAGAGGATAATGCTGTCCTCTACGATGCCACTTTGTCGATTCTTCAACGACTCATCGAACTCTACTCCAGTGCTAAGTACGATCTTGTCAAGGTTGATACGGTTTCTCAGATTCAACAGGCCGATGCGCATATCTTCTGTCAAGCTGTCGAGGCGAGGACAGGCCTTCCTGTTCCTCGCTTCAACGAACCAGGGCGTGTGCAAGAAGCGCGTCAACAGTATCGAAAACTTGTCGAGGAGTACAACGAATCCTATACAAACGTCCACGATGTACTGGTGAAGCAGAGCAGGACCTGGGCCAAGGCTGAGCGTCTTCAGGAGGTGGAAATGGAAGAGATTGCGACTCGAACGGTCGCATATTCTTCTACCGAAAACTACGCTCTGCTTCAGCTGAAGTTGAAGCGCATTCGAGACTTTAGAACCGGACTCTCCACCACAACAATAGAAGAGGCTGGTAGCATTAGGGAGCTGCTTCAAGAGCTCAAGGACGAGGGGAAAGCTATTGATGCAAAGATGACGAAGTGCCACCCCGACCATCAAGCTGCAGAATGGGAACTGTCGCATCAAGTACTTAAGATGTCCAACAACCTCATCAATGAGGTCATGAAGTCACAAGAATGCCTCTATTTGGAGGCGGAAAAGGAGATGGAACAGACTAAACAGTTGCAACTCGCGTGCCTGCGTAAGCTTTCCAATGCCGAGGCCACTCTGCAAGCCGCCCCACAAGGTGTAGAGCCAAAGAGTATGCTGCCTAATGTGGATCCAAAGGCGACAAACAATGCCCTCGAAAGGCGAGTCAAGCATCTCATTGCTCGATGCCAGGAAGAACTGCGACATGCCAAAGACATCAATGCTGCACGGGCAGTCTTTCGGAGATTTGACTGTGAGCGAATGGCTCTGTGCGATCTCATGACTCCACAGCATGGCAGGTTCCCGTTCCCAGAGATGAGTTGTATGGATCTTAAGGCGACCTACCTTGAGGCTCTCGAGCAAATTGAGGAAAGGCAACTTGCGCAAAAGACCAAGGTGCATCAGACGGTCAAGATAGAGAACAAGTCGCATGTTATTGACTGGATCAAAGATCAGAATGAGATGGCTGGACAGCATGAAATAAAGGTGTATGCAGATCAAGATGTGATTGAGGAGATGGACATCGACGGTAGGAAGGAGATCGTAGAGGAAGAGATGGGGAGTCAGCCAATTGAGGAACGGTCAGTTGAGGAGCAGCAAATCGAGCAGTCAATGGAGGAACAGCCGGTCGAAGAGCAGCCAATCGACGAGGAGCCAGTCGACGAGCAGCTAGTCGAGGAACAGCTAGTTAAAGAGCAGCCAGTCGACGGGCAGCCAGTTAGAGAGCAGCTAATTGACGAGCAGCCGGTTGAGGAACAGCTGGTCGAGGGACAGCTGGTCGAGGAACAGTCGGTTGAGGAACAGTCGGTTGAGGAACAGCCGGTTGAGGAACAGCCGGTTGAGGAGCAGCTAATCGACGAGGATCCAGTCAACGAGCAGCTAGTTGACGAGCAGCCAGTCGACGAGGAGCCAGTCGACGAGGAGCCAGTCGACGAGGAGCCAGTCGAGTACCCAATCGAGCAGCCAATGCAGGGCACGAATGAAGAGGCAAAACAGCCAAGCATGGAGAACACTGCATCTCCGATTGCTGATACCGCTGGTAGTGATGCCTCCAGTCCAGAAGCAGCCGTTGCGGAATCATCTACCCCCGAGTCTACCGAGTTTCTGAGTGATGACGGTGATGCGGTTGCCCGACCTCCCAGTCCTCTACCCTGGCGGAGACAGTCGTTGGCGTTCGAAGAAGCGCTTCGGGAGATGGAAACGCAGTCTGGAGACGAAGTCGACGAAATGCCAGATGTGGAGGTCATCGACCATCAGAATCCAAATCACACGATGGAAAATGGCAGGGCTAGGGCCTGGACACGACTCTGGCGCCGCTAGACAATTCTAGGCCCTACTGAAGCGACTGTTGCATCTAATTGATCAGTATGCTACAACAATCCTGCATCAGAAATGGGAGAGTATCACCCGCAAAGGTCTCAACGTCTAGAATGGTGGTGTGGAATGTTTCACATTAGTATGCAACGGACTCTGGAGGCCTGACCTAGGGTAGATAAACAATAAAAATGGAAAACCGATATAATTATCCTATGTTCAAGATTAAATGCATCATATGTGACTGTATGAGGTGAGCGATTGCAAGGTGAAGTGCCATTGACATGGGCTTGATCACGCATGTTAGGTAACACAACGATCGGTCATATTGCTCACCTCCTTTCCTCGAGCATGCGGCTGCTGTAACCTTTCTAGCTGTTGAGCGAGCATCATCAATATGCGATTTATGGAAGCGGCAGACTATGCACTGCTATCCCAAACAAGAAGCTTGCAACATATTGAATCAGAGTAAATCTATCGTCAGGAACCCACCCAATCGAGGAAAGGTATCCTAAAGTCAAAGAGGGTTCCAATATCCATATTCATGGAATCTCATGGATTGTATCAACCAACATGGCTGGGGAAAACAGAGTTGGCACAGGTCCGGAGAGATCGGAGGCGTAGAGGTCGGTGGTTCGAGGATCCGAGACAATCTGCGCGTATCTAACGAATGATGGATAGCAATTATGGTCAGCGACAGTCAGGAGCAGGGGAGGGAGTTGAAAGTATCATCTACCAAGTGGAGGGAGGATAAGATGGGGGCAGTAGTGGAGGAACAGGGCCAGGGGGAAAGACAAGGGGAGGGATTGAAGCGGTCGGACGAAGAGGTGTCAGTTGTGACGTGTCTGCTTTGGAAAGAGGCTGTATTGATGCTGGGGGATATTGTAGGGAGTGTAGTCCGACGAGCGTTGTGGGGGAGCTGGTAGAGATGCAAGATCTGCACTGTTGAGCTACATCTTACTCCGTATTACTCGCATGTATGTACGAACATTCTTGTAAGTAACGGCAATATATTACCATAGATATTGCAATTGGGAATGAATGGGCGACAAGCGCCGAGGTGGGCTGAGAGATGTGCGAGAGCGGCGTAGGATGACGATGACTTGGCTCGGGAGTATGATCGGTGAGGCTGAAATTGCCGACCTCGTATATATGTTTGTACATGCATCGATTGCCAGTCGATGCCCACCTGTGGAGGATGCTGGTTCATCCAGGGTGATTGGCGAGTAGACGAGCGCGTGAGTGACCTGCAGTGTCAGCATTCAGGGTGTGGATTTCGGTAGATGGGCATACGCCTACCTTACCCGGTAGCTAATTGACCACTGCGATGGGTGCAATGGGTGCGATGAGACAGAGGTATGTCATAAGTGGAGGTGGACGATGGCCAGACTCGAGTAACGAGAAGTGTAGGAGAGGGAGAGGGGAAGAGACGAGGAGGGGAAGGAAGGCTGAATATTGAATGGTGATCATCCATATGTTTGGAGGGAAGGTACGAATAGCTGGAAGGTGGGGTAACCACAACAGTGAACACTCACACTTCAGATGCTCAGAAACAACAATGCGCTAGGTATATGATCTAACATGACACTGTAGAAGTGCATATGAGTTTAATGTAGCATTGACGATAATATGATAGAGATTTATTTATTATTAGCTTAGGCCGCATTCAAATCACTGGCGAGGATCACAGCGTCGACATGGGGCCCATCAGTACGCAAATCCAGGCTGCTATACCTCGCAGTGGCCAGGCCCACAATGACATATGGTGCCCAGATATGGGCCGTAAACGACAAAGGAGAAAGCATAGCAGAATCAAAGACCAAACCTCTCACGACGACCCAGAACAAATGCCTCAGGAAGGTGCTGGGGGCGTATAAACGAACCCCCATCGCTGCCATCGAAAAGGAAAGCGGCACGCCACCAATAGACATATACCTTCAAACAATAGCCATGCAACGAGCTGTCAAGACAGCTCACCACCCAGTCACAGCACAAATCCGAGAAACACTGGCCTCGATATGGGCAGCGGCGACCACTCCAAAGGGCAGACGGGGTAGAGGCCGACCAACCAAACACACGGCCCAACCAAATGCCCCCATAGACAGCATGCGGGAGAGAGGAGACAAGATCATAGAGCGACGCCGAGCCACGCAAAGACAAGAACGACGGGACGGACAGATCCAAGCCGTCAAGGAAATAGGAGAGGAGCATACCGAGCAAT